CCCAGTGTAAATCCAGTGAAAGGTGGGCCAGCCACCTCCCTGGCCAGAATCCTCTCTTCCTGGCATGGAAGATGTGAGAGGAAAGGGGCTTTAAATAGGGGCATAGCCATTAGATGTGGATTCCAGCAAGATGGCCTTGGCTACACTATGGAGCCTGGATGTGTCAGGGGATGGGGGGTGAGGGGGGGCAGTAGAAGCAGAGATGAGGCCTCTGCGACCCTCTGCCCAGAGCAGTGGGAGGAAAAGAGGGAATGAATGCAAGACATTTAGGAACTAGAAGCAGAAGAACTTTATTTTTAAACAAATTACTTATTTGAGCCTCATGACAGCCCTTTGATAACATTCAGTGCTGGTATCACCCTGTTTTAACAGATGAGGAAAGGGAGGCCCCAGGAAGCTGAGTCACGAACCCACAGTGACACAGCGAGGAAGCAGAGGAGCTGGGATTCAAACCCAGGAGGTCTGGCTCTAGATTCCAGGCTTTTCACCACTCACTGTCCCCGTGTGTCAAGTGACCAGAGATGGCGATAGGGAGACAGCAGGCAGTGGCCCCTCTGACGGGAACATCCGTTGGATGCAGCTGTGGGGCCCCCTAGGATTGGAAGTTTGCAGGTCCAAGCCTGCAGGGCCTGTCCAGGTTCGAGGTGTCAGTGAAAGCTAGAGGGCTTCCACTCCCGCAGTGACAAAGGCTGGGGGTCCTGTGAAAGGTGTGAGGGTACAGTGGGCACAGAGCTGCTCTCCCAGCTTTTAACAGCTGCCTCCTAACGATGCTCTGCATGCTCCTCAGCATGGCCTTGGACCAGGACTAATCTGTGTGGGAGAGCAGGACGGTCCTACTTTACAGCTAGGGAAACTGACGCTCAGAAAAGCTGGGACCCCTGAGTGCCCCCTCCCACTCACCCATTCAGAGGCGACGTCCCAAGGGTTTTAACCTGTCCCAGTCACTAGTCAGAGTGTCCTCCCACACACACTCTGCATCAAAGTCCCAGCAGGTTCAAGGGTGTTAAGACCAAAATCATACCTACTTCTGCCCTCAGGCAGGGTCATGGGGTGAGCACAGATATTCTGGGTAGGAGAGGTTGGGGAATTCCAGCCACGCCTCACTCTCACAGGAAGCCTTGGTTCAGAACCTGCCCAATGGGGACACTTCAGGGGGAGGGGGGAAGGATAAGGTGGGGGGTAGACTTGAGAACCGACACCCAAGTAGCCAACCGTGAAACAGACAATGTGCCCGCCCTGTCTATTCTGTGCCTCCATCTGCAGGGGAGAGAGTCAGGCGGCAGCAGGCAGAAGGCACTCCTGGCTGATGGAACAACCTGCCCAAAGGTTGTCTGTCCTGCAGGGGGCGAGATGGAGAGAGGGGGCTGGAGGGGACTGCCCCCCAGAGGCCAGGAGGGCAGCTGGAAGAACAGTAGGATGGAGGACCGAAGGAGCCTAGTGAGTGAGTGCTGGGCTGGACTGGCCAGGCCAGTGGTCCCGAGAAGCCCAGAGGAGAGGACATCAGTGGGCATAGTTAGGGCCAGCTTCCCAGGTGCAGGGAAGAGCCAAGTGAGGCTTGTCTCCTCTTGTATTGGGGGACCCCAAGAAGAGGCCTCAGTTTCCCCATCATCAGTGCTTTATGGGGGTGGGCACTCTAGGTCTGTCCCCAGCCTTAGTTCTGACCCTTACCATCCCTTCCTGCACCTGGGTGAGTTGGGTGCAGGAGAAGGAGTGGGGGGAGGTCTTGGTGGTGCAGGATGCTGCCCAGGTCCTGCCTAGGTGCAGCCTGTCGAGGCAGCCTTTCTGAGCGCTGCCAGTTTGCACTGCTGGGCCTCCTTCCCTTCCCGGGGAAGGGGCGCGGGGTGGGGCGGGCAGTCAGTTGTCTTCCTGTGGTGGGAGGCCAGTTTCCAGCTGGGGCTCCCCAGAAACACTGCTGCAGTGGGGTGGGGAGAGGGAAGCCTTCAGTGGTCCAGGCGTCCCGCCCCCCAGGCAACCACCCTGTGTGGGTAGATGGATTGGTCCTCTGTGCATTAGCGGGGGCGGCTAAGATGCCTCATCAATATTTTAAGGAATGACCTGGCCGTGGGATCCGGAACTGCGTGCTGCGGGGGTTGACAACTGGTCTTCTTTTGCTTTTCCAATTGTCAGCGCTATTTTTACCACCGGAAGGCCCGCCGCCCCCTCTCCCAGGCCTCTACTCATAGGGGTGGGGGAGGGTCTCTGGTCTGGTTAGGAGAGTCTGCGCTTGGAAAGCAGAGATTCTGAGGCTTCCCCTGCCCCGCCTCCCTGAAGCCCCCTCCCATCCTGCTCCAGCCCTGGCCAGATGGGAACAAAAAACATTTATCCAGGAGGAGAAGTCAGAAAGCCCAGCTGAGCCCGGAAAAAAGAAACACAAAGCCCGGCTGATGATCGAGGGAGGGTGGTCTGCCCGCCCAAGGCCCCTGGGGAGCCAGCACCTAATGCCCAGACCCCATGGGCTCCCTTTGTCTCCAGCCCCAATCCTCAAAGAAGCCTGTGAAGGTGAGAGGAGGCCCCCGCCTGCCCCTGGTCCCAGTGGAGTGATAGAAGGGCCCCAGTAACAAATGTCCAAGAGCCATCAGAGTCGGGGGCCACTAGAGCCACTGCTCCAGCACCCCATTTTATTCATGGAAGCTGAGGCCTGGGGAGGCCCATCCTGCACTGTCCTGCCCTGACTCACAGGTCTCTGCTGGCCCTCGGGGGCCATAGGAGGAGCCACTCACCCAGAGAGCAGTCTGGTCAGGCTTGAGTCCCGTCAGCCACCGTCCCTGCACATGGTCGCACCCCAGTTCTGGCCCACAGCACAGCCCTGCCCCTGCTGGGTCCGAGTCCTCTTCCCTGTGACTTGCAGCCTCCCCTTTGCAGAGCGGCATGTCTGGGCCCCAGTCTCCCCATTTGTAATTAAGTACGGGGCTTCCTGCTGACCCTGCTGCTTGTGACTTTTATCTTTGGCTGCTCAACCCCTGCCACTTCTATGTACCCCGGCTGGACCCAGGGGACACTGAGGGCTGCTGTGCAGGGCATCAGGCCTATAGACTGCTGGCCAGCAACAAGGTGGGTGGGGAAGGTCAAGCTAGGACCATCCTCCCAGGCCAGTCCCTCCTGAGGACGAGGCCACAGCCACCATATCCTTAGCAAATTCCTCTCTGAGTGCCACCCCCACCTCCAGTGAGGGCGAGCAGGGGCCGCCCTGTGAGAGCCTGTCCCCAGGGCTCTGTCTCTGCTCTGCCCATTCTTGCCAAGCATATTGTCAGCCAGCAGGAAGAGCAGGGAGGAACAGAGATTAATGCCAGAGGATGGGGAACGGGGACTGACTTCCTCCCGGTCCCCACCTGCCCCGTGTGGGAGGTGGGAGCAAAATTGTGTCAAACAGGGGCCTCCACACTTGGGGATGGCTCCAGTGCTAGCCCTTCCGGCGCCATGTCATCCAGTCTGACCCTCCTGGTGGTCTCAGTGGTACCGCGGGGAGGTGGTCACTTTGAGGAACACTGCCCTGCTGGGCAAATGGATGGGCTTGGAGCATGGGGACAGGCCCTCATGGTCTTAGCTGCAGGGCTTTCTCCCCACTCCCCCCCGCCAAAACACCCCTCTCCTCAGGGCAGGCTGAGGCCTCAGCTCTCCTTCTCTGGAGGCCTTGGTGGTGGTGGCAGGTGCATTTCTGCCTTTACTTCCATTACTGACATGACTCAAGCCTGCCTTCTGCCCCCAAAGAGTGCCTGTGCCATGGAAACATATCTGGAGCACCCTGAAATTTACACCTTGCTAGGGGGGATGTACAGGAGAGGATTGTGGGAGCTCAGAGGAGACACTCATGCCACCTGGCAGGGAGAGGTCAGGGAAGGCTTTCTGGAGGAAGTGTCCCTGGATTAATTATTGAAGGGTGAGTGGGATTTAGCCAGATAAAGAAAGGCAGAAGAGCAGGGTATTAAAAAGGCTCAGCATGAGCCAGGCTCATGGGTGCCTCAGTCCCCCTCCCAGGTAATGCTCAGGCCTACAGGGAGGGCACTCTTCATTCTCTTCAACCAGGAAGCCCAAAGCAGGCCCGGCTCCTCCAGGAAATCTAGCTCCCTGTTGCCTCTCCACCAGTACTAGGGCAGGAGACCTGCTGGTTTAGAAAACGCTCCTCTATGCTAAGTGGCATCATCAAGTGGCCTGTTTTCTCCCTGGGACTGTCCTGTGGTTATTGACTGCAGATCAATGGCGAGGTGCCCCAAGGTGAGAGGGAATTCCCACAGTGCCCTATGGCCCGGAGGCCCTGCACATGATCTCACAGAAGTGGGGCAGCTATTTTTACCTGGCTTTAATTACAGAGTTTGGATCCCAGAGAAGAGATGAGATGGTACTCCCAAAAGCTCCAAGGGCTATGCCAGGAAATGTAGAATCCTGGGAGGGCAGCTGAGGGCATGGCCCTCTGTCTTGGTTCCCCTAACACTGCGCTGGCCCCCTCGGATGGGCTCCCCAAGGCTCACCCTCTACTCCATTGGTAAATTCACCCTAGCCCTTCCCAGGGAGAGGGTTGCATAAACACAATGGGCTGTGCCTGTGTCCCATTGGCCACATGGGACACACGGAGGCAGAGCCCCCAAATACCAAGTAGTTTGGCAATCCAGAATGAGGGCTGGGGGGCCAGGGAATAAGGAGGAGGGAGCTGGGTGAGGAGACAGCTGGGATTCCTGGATTGGAGCCTCTTCAAGAGGTTGGATTTGGATGGGTGCTCTGGAGGCAACAGGTCTCCAGGAGGTGGGAACACAAGTACAGCGTGCAGGCCACTGTGCTGGAAAGAAGTCTGAGGAGGCAGTACCCTCAATGCCAGTATGAAAAGTTAGTCATACTTGATCCACACTAGGAGGTGGCCCCCAAGCCCTGGAGTCAGGGTGAGAATCCCAGGCCTGTCATTAACAAGCTGTGTGTCCCCAGGCCCCATGGGACAGTTTAGGTGGTGACAGCTGTGACATGCCCAGTAGCCAGACACATTCATTTATTCATTCATTCGTTGTTTACAGGGTACCTATCATGTGCCAAGCACTGGGGACACAGCCACTTATAAGACTGTTAGAATACCTGCCTCGTGGAGCTGGCATTCACCAAGCGAGTGAATAAGTGGTATGTCGGACGAGGGTAAACATTATGGAGAAAAGGAAGCAGGCAAAGGGCAGGAGATGCCAGTGCTGGGGGGAGTGGGGGCATTTCTTATTCTCAGGAGAGTGGTGGTCAGGGAAGGCTATCAGACAAGATGGTATTGGAGCAGGAACCTGAAGGAGGTGAGAGGATGTGGAGGAAAGAACATTCCAGGGAAGTGCAAAGGGCCTGAGGTAGAAATATGACGGCCATGCTTCCGCAATGACAAGAAGGCAGGTGTGGCCAGAGCAGAATGGGCAGGAAGAGTGGCAGGAGGTAAGCTCAGGCAGGTAAGTGGAGGCAGATCGTGTGAGGTCTTCGGGGCCAAGGGTAGGACGTTGGCTTTACTCTGAGTGGAATGGGAGCCATTGCAGATTTTGAGCAGAGGAGGGACCTGATTGGCCTTTGTTTTAGAAACGATGACTGGGTTCCCGAGTGGGAACAGACCTATATAGTGAGGCCAGTTTCTGGAGAAGAGGCTGCTAACGTGCTGCCTCAAGAGAAGCGGTTCTGTGGGTCCCTGGGCAGCAACCTGGATGGCAATGAGGGAGGAGAGGCTGGGTTCCCCACATATTTCCCAAGTAGAGCCCAAAGGATTGCACATGACTCCTGGTCCAGGGGCTTTGGGAGCCCTCGAAAACCTTACTTAGGGAAGTGAGGTCACTGGAGGCTCATGGGGACCCCACTTCAAGGCACCTGTTTTCCCAGCGTCCTTTTGCTGCCCCAGGAATGACCTTGGGGTCCCTGACTGAGGCAGCTGTTTGAAGAGACAGTAAATGGGGTCCCCCTCCTGCAGGCACTGCCTTCTACCTCCCTGGTGGTCTCTTCACACATGGGCGCTACTCAGAAAGGCTTCCTGTTGTAGAACCGCCCCCCCCCCCCCCACACACACACACACACGCACAGGCTGTTAGAAATGCTCAGCGGTGTTGTGGGGATGAGACACTCAGGCCGGCTGACTTCTGCAGAGGGTGCAGTTGCTGAGAATCATGGGCAAAGCACACCAAATGGGAAGTCCGTTTGGGTTTTATTTCCTGCCCCGGGGTCTGCCCGGCCCCTCACTCTGACTCTGACTTGATTGGGCTCAGAGCTCGGGTTCACATTATTGCGCGATTGGCTAATTCAGAGGAAGGGAAGCGCCAAGGTGGAGGCTACCATGACCCTGAGAATCTTAAGGTCATATCAACATGGCAGACCCTTTCTTTGACAGAACAGGTCGCTGGTTCTCTCTCTCTCTCTCTCTCTCTCTCTCTCTCTCTCTCTCTCTCTCTCTCTCTCTCTCTCTCACACACACACACACACACACACACACCCGGGGAGCCTTGGGGGAGCAGGGCCAGAGAGGGGACAGGCGGGCACTCTGGCCAGAGGTCACAAAGTCACCAGAGCTCTTCTCCCCGCAGCTGCAGAGGGCTGCGATGGGACGGAAGCCATGAATGGTGCCGCCTCCGGCCCCGCCGCCCCCGCCGCCCCGGTCCCGGTCCCGGTCCCGGTCCCGGTCCCGGACTGGCGGCAGTTCTGCGAGCTGCACGCACAGGCGGCCGCCGTGGACTTCGCGCACAAGTTCTGCCGTTTCCTGCGGGACAACCCGGCCTACGACACCCCGGACGCCGGGGCCTCCTTCTCCCGCCACTTCGCCGCCAACTTCCTGGACGTGTTCAGCGAGGAGGTGCGCCGCGTGCTGGCGGCCGAGCGCGCGGACGCCATGGAGCCCCGGCCGGCGGCGCTCAAGGCGGCGGCGTGCGGCCACTCGCGGAGCTCCGAGGACGTGTCGGCGCGCGCGGCGGCCAAGGCCCGCGTCCGCAAGGGCTTCTCGCTGCGCAACATGAGCCTGTGCGTGGTGGACGGCGTGCGCGACATGTGGCACCGGCGCGCCTCGCCCGAGCCCGACGCCGCCGCGCGGGCCCCCGAGCCCCCGGCCGACGCCCGCGACAGATGGACGCGGCGCTGGCGGCTGTCGCGGACGCTCGCGGCCAAGGTGGAGCTGGTGGACATCCAGCGCGAGGGCGCGCTGCGCTTCATGGTGGCGGACGATGCGGCCGCGGGCCCCGGGGCCGCCCAGTGGCAGAAGTGCCGCCTGCTCCTGCGCAGGGCCGTGGCCGGCGAGCGCTTCCGCCTGGAGTTCTTCGTGCCGCCCAAGGTGAGCGCCCCGCCCCGCCCGAGAGAGGGTGGGTGCTGGGCACGGCCTGGCCTGAGCGCCAGGGTCCCGGGGTGTGGCCGCGCTGCCTCGCCCCACACGGCACCCCCCAGGCCTCTGCGCCTGTGAGATGTCGGAGGGGCTCTCCGGCTGCAGGACAGGCGCTGGGTGCTGTGCTTCGTGCTGCTGGGACACCGGGCGCCCTGCCCCCTTCCTTCCCTGGGACCCTGGGTGGCGGGAGCCGCCCAGAGAGGAGCCTGCGGGATGAGGGCAGGGAGCGCCCGGCACCCTCCCAGGCCCCGGAAGGGCCGCCTCTGTCCTGGTGGGAACCTGTGGGCCCCAGGCCGGCCGCTGGGCTGTGGCTCAGCCCCTGCCCGGTGGCCCTTCTGTGGCCTCAGGTTTCAAAGGCTCAGCTCCAGCTGCTGCCTCCATTGCTGCTCAACCGAGTGCGCTGTCCCCGTACCCTCTCTAGGGGGCTCCCCAAAAGCGCCCTGGGCACTGCCTGGGGTCTCCTCCAGGTGGCAGACCTGCCGTGCTCGGAAAGGGGCAATGCCGGTAACATAGCGCCCATTCCTGAGAGCCCACCCTGTGCCCAGCGGGTGGGCAGCCTCATCCTCCCTGCACTCCACAGGGTGGGCCCCATGGTTTCAGGGTCACAGAAGAGAAAACAAATGAATATCGGGGGCCAAGGGGTGGAGGTGGCCCCCCCAAAGCACATAGCTTGTGGTGGCAGCGCTGGGCGACCTATGCCCACCACCTGGTGGTCCCCGCAATGAACGGAGCGGGGAGGTGAGAGCACCATGTGCACTGGGAGGTTCGGGAAGGTGGTGGCACCCCCAAGAGCCACCCGGGGCTGCCACCGGCCTCGCCCACTCTGTCCTCAGTGCCTGTAGTCACTGCGTCTCGCCTCTGTCCCCATCTCCAAGGTTGTCGGAGCCGTGGGCTCCATTGGAGGGACAGGGTCTGGACTACCCAGGGGCATCCTCAGTCTGAAGAGCTTTCTTCCCAAGTCCCGGGACACACTCACAACCCCAGACTTCCCCAGGGCTGTGTGCTTGCCAAGGCCCCACAGTGCATCCCAGAGAGAAATCATAGACTAAGAAGCCTAACTCTCCCCGCCTTGTGAGACACGGAGACCAGGCCCAGAGAGGGTGGGGAATGAGGTGGGGCTTGCTCAGGGTCACCCAAAGGGCAGAGGCAGAGGCCCTGAGTGACAGGCACAGCTGCCCTGCTGTCAATCCCAGCAAATGCTGCCTTGGGGGGGCGGGGGCGGTGCAGCAGCTGGCGCCTTGGCTGTCCCACTAAGCCCACTGCCCACCACTGCAGAGGGCAGGGTCACTTCCCCACCCCTGAGGAAGGTAGGTGGTTTCCTCCTGCCCCCCAACCCTTCGTTTTGGGGGGAGAGGTATATTTTTACTTCAGAGAGGAAGGGAGAGAGAGATAGAAACATCAATGATGAGAGAGAAGCATTGATCAGCTGCCTCCTGCACACCCCACACTGGGGATCGAGTCCCCAACCCGGGCATGCGCCCTGACCAGAAATCGAACTGTGACCTCCTGGTTCATAGGTCGATGCTCAACCACTGAGCTATGCCAGCCGGGCCAACCCTTTGTTTTTCATGCAAATGTTTGGGAATTCAGCTGGTAGGAAGGTGGATCATACCATGGTAAGGGCTCAAGTCCCGTTTCCCAAATGTATGCCCCAGGGAGACCCTGCTGATAAGCCCCACTGTCTTTTAGTCCAGGTGGCCTAGCTGCATCCCTGGAGTGGACAGGAGCTCATGCTGGGGGGCTGTTTCCTGGGACTCTATGACTTTCCTCTCACACAGCCCCATGAATCGGGCCTCTGGCCTCCCTCCCCTCAGAGCCCGGTGCAAGGCTGGCCCCTATCATTGCGGAGCCACCAGGAGACCGGTATTTGCAGGAGTGGATGGTAAACCTCAGTGGGTGAGCACTGGGTGCTCCAGGGGCCCCAAGGTGGTGAAGCTCAGGCTGCATAAGTGCTCCCCAAGCGGCAGGGCCCCAGGACAGGCATTTTCCAGAGGCACGAGCTATAAATAAGTGATGGTCTGCAGTCATGAAACAGCCTATGGCTCTGTCCAGAGAACAGGGGGCAAGGCATCTGGGCCAGGACAGACAGGCCTCAAATGTCGGGCGGAGGAATGCGGACCTCCTGCCAGCAGGAGCCCAGCCGAGGTCGCCAGTCCAGGCCTTCGCTGTGGACCTCTGTCTGTCCCATGCACTCCGGTGGCCCCTACCCCAGTGGCTGGCGCAGTGGCCTGCCATGGTCAGCTGAGCCCCTCCATCACCACTCCAAGCCCAGCCCTGCACCCGCTGGATGGTAGCCAGTGCTGCCAGGAATTCCCATTTGCCTGCCTCCCTCCCCACCCCCCCAACATGTGGTCCTGCCCTTTCCTCCTGAGAAAGTCCCTGTCCCAGAGCCCAAGCCCTGCCAGGAATCTGCCTCAAGCCACCCCAGGGGGCTTTCGGGTCATGGCCAGGAGCTTTGGGGCAAAGTAGGGAGGGCCAGGCCCAGTAGCCCTCCCCGGGAGTCCTGCCAGCTCACCTTGGTTGAACCCCACACGGGTCCCTTTTCCTCCCCCGGAAGGTACGGCCCTGCCCAGTTCCAGGAACCCTGTCTGAGTCGGGCTCCAGAGCTGTGCTCTGGGAAGTCTAATTTGAAGGAGGAGACCTGCGTTATTTTTAAATGAACTAGAATAAAATAGAAAATACCACACTCCGTCACACAGTCAGGGTAAAGAGTGTCTGCCGAAACATTCATTTCAGAGGTATTCTTACCTGTGTGTGTACTGGGTCACAATGTCAAATGTATTTCTTACTAAGAGTCAAGGTAAAAAACGTGAAAACCACAGACCTGGTGGTGCAACGGGCAGAAGGGCAGCCCAGGCACAGTCCGCCCTGCAGGGCTCACAGGCGGGAGACTCCGATGTCAGTCCCAGCCCTGCCCCTCACTTGCTCTGTGACTGTATGAGGAGGTCCCTTTGTTTCCCAGAGACTCCCTCAACTTACCTGTCTGTGAAATGGGGATCGGAACACCTTCGTGCCACTGCTGCTATGGCATCCTAAGTGGGGGGCTGCTCTGCCATCTGGGAAGTGGGCAGGGTAGAGAGGGTTCAGAAGGCCCTGTGGTGACTCTCACTGCCCCTTCCTCTGGCGTCCCAGGCCTCCAGGCCCAAGGTCAGCATCCCCCTCTCAGCCATTATCGAGGTCCGTACCACCATGCCCCTGGAGATGCCCGAGAAGGACAACACGTTTGTGCTCAAGGTGAGTCTCACCCTTAGCCCTATGGGTCCTCTGGCTGCCCCAGACTACCTCCCTCATGGCGGCTCAGCTTGTGGCCACTGCAGGGGGAGGGGTCCCAGTTGGGTGGGTCTTAGGACCCTACACAGATGTCAGGCACCTCGCAGCGACTTGAATCTAGGCCCGGCTTTAGAACCAAGCGCCTTGGGTGTCACCCACCTTCTGGGGCCCCTTGTTCTTATTTCCTTTTGGGCCCCCGGGAAGCTCCTCTGAGTTTCACTTCCTCCCCCCCACTCCCCCCCTGCCACACACACACTGGAGCCAGCACATACCCACCCCGTGGGCAGGCAAACGGGTAGCCAGACTGCAGCAGTTTCACAAATGCCTCTGTCACAGAGCACATGGTCCCACAGAGGCACCAAAGGTGGGCAGGGAGGCACCCCGGTGGGCTGGGTGCAGTGCGTCCTTTCCCCAGGACCCATGTCACTGGGGTAGCCTGCTCGGGTCGCTGAGGACAGGGCTCCAGGCTGCCAGGGCTGTGCCCTGTGCCTCCTCAGAGGAGTAAAGGATGTTTGGAGACCTGGTTCCACCCACCCCAAGCTGCATGGAGCCCCCACCCTCCTCTTCTCCCCTGTTTGTTCAGTCACGAACTCCCTTATTCACTTAGCAAACATTTGCCAACCCCATAGCCTGAGTCACCTCAGGCTGGGGGCTGAGGATACAGCCCCTCCCCGAATGGCATCCCATCTGCTGGGTGAGACGGGTCCAGAGCATCACTCCCAGCAGCGGAGTGGCCTCTGTGCTGCTGACTGTGCTCCGCCCCACTCTGGGCCTCCGTGTCCCCGTCTATTCAGAAAAGGACCCTCCCAGCTCTGGGATGCGTTGTCACTGAGGCACACAGGGAGCTGAGAGCACGCAGCCTCGGCATCATAGAGACCTGGGTTCACGTCCCAGCACTGCCAGGGTGCTGGTGGGGCTCTAAGCCAGTTACCTGCCTCTCTGAACCTCAGTCTTCTCATCTGAGAAGGGGAAGCACATTGCCTCCCTCCCAGGCTGTTGGGAAGAGTTCACCACATGATGAATGTGCAGGCGGGCCCTCTGGGCCTGGCCCACAGCCAGGGCTCTCCCTCCTCTTCCCCCATGGAGGCTGCTTTCCCAGGGTGTGACCTCAGAGGGAGAGTTCCAGCCACTGAGGCAGGTGAGTTCCTCAACTCAGTGTGCTGAGCCAGCGGCCCCTTGGCTGACTTGAGGGTTGTGAGGTCCTTTCGCCTCATCTCCAGGGTGCCAGCCCACCCTTCCCCAGGCAGCATGGCCTCCCGAGGCTTCATCTCGGGTGCCTGAGCATCATCCCCGTCACCCCCAAGGGCTGCTGAGAGTATGGGAGGAGGCTGTACCCCAGGACCTTGGCCCGGGTGGGGGTGGTGCTTGATGGTGACCCCACTGTCTTCCCTGATGCTCACACCAGTGAGCCACCATGGGGAAGGGGAGGATGAGCCGTTTGTCCTGGGGTCTGGAGGCCCCTGTGAGAATGGCAGAGGGTAGGGCACTGACTACTGTCCGGACTCCCGGCACCCCTTCCCCAGGTGGAGAATGGAGCAGAGTACATCCTGGAGACCATCGACTCGCTGCAGAAGCACTCCTGGGTGGCTGACATCCAGGGCTGCGTGGACCCTGGGTGAGTGCCCGAGTGGCACCAGGACAGGTGGGCAGGTTGGAGGTAGCTATCTGGTGCTGAGCTCCAGAAAAGGACTTTTCTCATGGCGGGTCTATCCAGGTTGGTGCCGGCCATTCATCCGTACCCCCACCCCTATCCCCAGCAGGCTTTTTGAGGCCTGCTCTGCAGGGCCAGGGCCTGGGGACCTAGGAGGAAGTTGGATCAAGTCTTGTTCTCACCCCAGGGAAGCCTGAGACCATTAGGAGAAGGGCAGTGGTGATGGGGGGGGGGGGGAAGCCCAAAGGTATAGGGGTGGGGGAATGGAGGAGAGGTCCCTAACCCAGCCTGGGGCTCAGGTACGGCATGCAGGTAGAGGTGCTCACCATCTCAGAGGCTTAAAGAAAGAGTGGCCCTGAGCCAGGCAGAGGGGGCTGGGGGAGGGGAGGGCAGAGAGAACAGCCCAGCAAAAGGTGTGGAGGTGTGTGTGAGCCTGGAACTTGCAGGAACATCGAGGCCTTCGGTTGTTAGAATTAGAGCTGGTGAGGAGGGGACTTTGATGAGAGCCCGAGAAGCTGTTAAGTCAGGGCCAGTGGGGAGCCACGGGTGGCAGTAAAGGGGCAGCTGTGGTAAGCTGTGCACAGAAGAGCAACAGGGCGGCTGGCTGCACCATCCAGGAGAGATCCTGAGGCGGGAGTAGGAGGGGCAGGCAGACCAGCAGCAGAGCATTTGGCAACAGCTCTTCTGGCTAAAGGGGTGAGCGGAACCCCAGAGGGGAGGGGCTGCTGCTTTCTAATTAACAGCTTCATTTACGGAAGCACAATTGAAGTCCTGAGTGCCACCCAGGCCCCCGATCCCCAAAGTGGTTATAATCCATCCCCTGCCACCCTTCCAACCATCTGTCCTGCAAACTCTTTCCTCAGACCCTGTGAAGGTGAGCCTTGCGGTATTTTATAGCTGGCAGGGGCACAATGGGGAGACGAAGGCCTGAGGCAGGGAAGGCAGCTCCAGGCCCCGCCCACTGCCAGGCCCTGCCACCATTTGTGGGACTCCATGGGGCCCCAGGAGGAGGCTAGCCCTTTGTGGGTTAGTAGGCAGGGGTCGTGTGACCTCAAGGAGGACTGTCCCCACCTGGAGACCTCTCTCATATGGCCCAGTCACACATGGTAGCCAAAGAGCAAGCTGAGAGTGTGACAGAGAGACACGAAGGCACAGGGACCTCAGGTGAGCCACGGCCTGGTTCAGTGAGCTTTCCAGGGTCCGAATCCCATGGCAGAACAGGGCTGTGCTCTCTTCCTTCGCAGGGACAGTGAGGAAGACGCAGAGCTGTCCTGTGCCCGGGGAGGCTGTCTGGCCAGCCGCATGGCCTCCTGCAGCTGTGAGCTCCTCACGGAGGGTAGGTGGGGGCAGAGCTGGCTGGAGTTGTGGATGGCAGGGTGGGAGGGGGTGGTCAGACAGATGTGCTTCTGACCTGCCACTTCTGCAGCAGTGGACCTGCCCCGGCCCCCAGAGACAACCGCAGCCGTGGTGACAGCCCCGCACAGCCGAGCTCGAGATGCCGTCGGCGAGTCCCTGGTCCATGTCCCACTGGAGACCTTCCTGGAGACTCTGGAATCCCCGGGCGGCAGCGGTGGTGACAGCAGTAACACAGGTGCAGTGGGCAGCCTGCTCTCCTGGCCCCTCCTTCCTCCAGCGCCTTCCTGAGCCTCAGAAGTTGTAACGTTTCATCCCGCCTAGTGCTCTGCACAGCAGCTGAGTGCTAGCGTTTGTAGGCCAGTCCAGATCACAACCTCCCACAGGCCCTGGTTTCAATAGAAGATGCTCTCAGAAGGGGTGCAGAGGGTCAGAACCAGGGGTAAGGGACAAGGAAAGTAGATTTGTTGCTGACTGAGAGACTGCCCCAGGTAGTCCTTCTCCTCTCTGTGCCTCAGTTGACCTCATATGCTTAACTAGTGGGTGGGGTCAGCTCCTGGCCTTGTTCTAAAATTATCCAAACAGCGTTTTACAGGTGAAAACTCAACAAGATGTTGCATCTCTTCTCTCATGTGTTTACTCCCTGCCACCCCCTCACTCTGTCATCCTCTACAGGGGAAGAGGGAGCAGAGCCCGAGCCCGAGGTGGCGCCTGAGCTGGAGCTCTCCGACTACCCCTGGTTCCACGGGACGCTGTCCAGGGTCAAGGCAGCTCAGCTGGTGCTGGCAGGCGGGCCCCGGAGCCACGGCCTCTTTGTGATCCGCCAGAGTGAGACTCGGCCTGGGGAATACGTACTGACTTTCAACTTCCAAGGCAAGGCCAAGGCAAGTGTTCAGGGGGACTGTGGGCAGAGTGGCCAGCCCTGGGCGAGGGGGCCGAGTGAGCCCTGGTCCTGAGTCTGTGCCCATACCCCCGGAGGAGGCTCGGTGGGTGTAGGTGTGGCATGACTTTCCATGGGCCAGGCCTACCCCTGGCCACACCCTTGGAACCACCTGGATCCCTCCCACACCTCTCTGGGGTCTTATAAATCTGCCCCAGATATGGCTTCTCCATTATCCAGACGGGAAGTCCCCTCCTGTGGCTGAGCACTCAGGAGGCCAGGCCTCCTAAGGACGTAACTTTGACCCTGTGTATTAGGGATCACATAGCACTGGGGCTCCAGAGGGTCTCTACCCTCAGTGCAGGACTAGGGTCAGCCAGGGCCCTCCTGCCCCGCCCACTCCCAGATAGCCCCGCCTCTTGCCTCCTCAGGTCAGTTCACCACCCCTTCCTGGGCCCCAGGCCGAGGGACATGGAAGGGAACCACACACAGGGATCCTAGAGGACCAAACTGGAGAGGAGAGGCTGGGCCCGGCAGGAGGGCTGTGCTGGGGCTGGAGGGCTGGAGTAGGAGCAGACCTTGACCTGGGATGTGCAGGGGAGGGAGGTGAAGGGCGAAGGGTGAGCCAGGCACAGCAAAGGTGTGGCAGTGCTCCCAAAGTGGACTCCCGAGGAAGGGCATTGTGTGCTAATATACGGACCTAAGGCGCACGGGGAAATATGTCGGAAAAGTCAAATGACTGTCACACACAGTGTGACCAGAAGGGGCAGAAACCTCAACCCTTGCCCCTCTCCTCCCCCACCCCCTACACCCCCTCCCCCACCCGCCCAACACACACACACACACACACACACAATCCTGAGTTTCTGATAAGGAAACAGACCCAGCCAGGCTCTTCCCAGGACATGGTTCCTGTCAGTCCTCCTGCTCCAGGCCTACACTCAGTGTTCCAACCCCCAGCTGGCCTGGTGCGAGCCCTCCCCTGGCTCCCTGGGCCTTTGTCCCTGACAGTGTTGTCACTCTGTGGAGGAGGCAGCACCTCCCCAGGGACGCCTCCTTGGAAAGCAGCTGCCCTTACCAGTTCCTCTGACAACCAGGCACTTAATGCCATCCTGGCAGCCCCAAGTGTCTTCCTTGGCCAGCACTGCCCCAAGCAGCCTCCCTGGAGGGCCTGGATCTGACTCACGCCCAAGCCAGAGGCTGGAATGGTGCCCAGTCAGTGCGGGGCAAGGGGGCCAAAGTGGGGAGAAGAAAGAGCTGGACCCTCCTCTCCTCCCAGGAGAAAGGAAAGACCCCGCATTGAACTCCTGCCACTCCTGCCCTCTCAGGGACCCCCACCTCCTGCTTGCACTCCTCCTGGTGAGGAGGACGTCTGCCCTCGGAGGCAGCTCTTTTCACCTTCAGATAATAAACATCTGGAAGGTTTTCCCAAAGACAGATGCACCCACCTTGCCTCAGGCCCTGCCCTGAGTGCCATTACTGCTCCCCGGCTTTACTGACTGTTCTGGCCCTTCTGGCCCTACTGATGGGCAGAATTCACTCATGGAACCGTCCCCACCACCCTACGCCCTGGGCTAGGCCATGTGCATCCCTGAAACCCTCCTTTCACCTCCGCTCTTGCCATACACAATGACAGCCACTCTTCCTCCTTGGGATGCATACTGAGCTGAAGCCAGAGACCTGTGCTCAGCGCCAGAGCCCACAGGCTTGTGGCTCCTCTCCCTGGGGCATCCGCCCCATGCGGGCCTGGGAGGCACCAGCCTGCTCCCCGTGCTCCCGGTGCTTCCACTGCAGCCGTGAGAGGTGCAGTCACTCCCTGCCAGCCTCCCGTGGTTTCCCGCCCTCTGGGCTTTGACTCTGTGGGGAGCAGGGTGGGAGAACCACACCAACAGGAGTCTGTGCCTTGTGACTGGGTGAGTCGCTCCTTCGCTGGCCTCCGTCTCCCATCTCTAAAACGGGGGCTGTAATCTCTGCCTTCTGGGGAATGTGAGGGGCATGATGTGGGTGCTCCCACCATAGGGACAAATGTCTGCTCCCTTCAGTTCCAGCCTGGCTCTGCTGCCCACCCATTCCAACTCCCACCACAGGAGTGACTCCCCCGCCCCCCATGGGACTCATGTGGTAGGAGCCAGCTCCGACACAGCCCCAGGGGGCTTCTATGAGACTTGGTTCTCCCAGTGACCCCCAAAGGCATTTGCCAGTCCAGGCCCCCACCCCTGACCATGCGGCTCTATGCCCACAGCACCTGCGCTTGTCCCTGAACGGCCACGGGCAGTGCCACGTCCAGCACCTGTGGTTCCAGTCGGTGCTTGACATGCTGCGCCACTTCCACACCCACCCTATCCCGCTGGAGTCAGGGGGCTCCGCAGACATCACCCTGCGCAGCTACGTGCGGGTCCAAGGCCCCCCGCCTGGTAAGACGCCCCGCCTGGGAGGTGTAATGGCTCAAGAAATAGGTGGGCAGTGAGGGGAGGGAGTCGCTTAGGCCGCATCCCAGCTTAGCTAACTCTAGTGCAGTGGTTCTCAACCTTGGCTGCACATTAGAATCGCCTGGGATTCTGTTATGGGGGTGAGGCCACAACATTAGTAACAAAGAAACAGAATTTCCGGAGGATGAGGCCCAGAAACCAGGATTTTAAAAAGATTCCCAGGTGATTCTAATGTGCAGCCAAGGTTGAGAACCACGGCTCTAGTGGGATGAAGGCCAGGACTGGGGCGGCTGTCAGCAATCAGGGCCATTGGATTGGAGGGGGCGTGGCAGGCCCGCCGCGCGTCCTGAGTGAGTCCTCCAGGGGGACGGGGTGCTCAGAGGCAGCACCGGGCATTCCCTGGACACAGGCGAGACCCTGTGACCCTAGGCACCCCCTTCCTCCGGGCCTCTGGTCCCGGTCTGAGCACTGGGCCTGGGGGAGGGGACCAGGGAACCCAAGCCGGCACTGACGCGCTGGGTCCTGTTGCAGACCCGGGGCCCTCGCCGAGCGCCGCGCCGGCGCCCCCCGCCTGCTGGAGCGAGCCGGCCGGCCAGCACTACTTCTCCAGCCTCGCTGCCTGCCCGCCCGCCTCTCCCTCCGAGGCCGGCGGCGCCTCGTCCTCTTCCGCCTCCTCGTCCTCGGCTGCCTCCCTGCCCGCCGCCCCGCGCACCACCGAGGGCCTGCTGAGCGCTCGCAGCCGCAGCAACAGCGCCGAGCGGCTGCTGGAGGCGAGCGGTGCCGAGGAGCCCCCGGAGGCCGCGCCCGGCGACGGATCCCGCGGCCGCACGCGCGCGGTGGAGAACCAGTACTCCTTCTACTAGCCCGGCGCCACGGCCCTGGGGCCACCGGACCCGCCTGGCAACCGCCCTCGTGTCCGTCCGTCCAGCCACCCTGCTTCCCTGCAGGTGTCAGCCCCAGTCCAGCGCTGGGTGGGAAAAGCGAAGCTCTTCAATGAAGACATAAATGTTATTAAAGAGCCTGTTTTAGGGACTGCACCTGGCTCTCCTGTCGTCCTTTCTTCTGTCCTGGCCAATGGGCACCGCTCCTTCTGGGACTGCAGGGGAGAAGGGGGTACCACATATGGGACCCCCTATGAAGCCCACCGTGTCCTGGCGCCTGCCAAGCCCCCACCCAGCTCTGTATTAGGGGACCCAGCTCCCCATTTGGCTGGGGAGACAACTGGCAGTAACTAAATGAGGCACAGAGATAAAACGCTGGACCAAAGAGCAGGGCTCAGGGAGACTGCCCAGAGGGGAGAGATGGGAAGGGGCTTTATAGTGGAGCTATGAGAGAGGGGTTGGGGAGAGGTGAGTGAGCAGGGGCAAGAATGAGAGAGGGTAGGGGAAGGAGGGAGGGGGCCCCTGGATGAGGGTAAAGGGTAAAGGAGGGGGCTGGGCCTTGAATACCAGGATGAGGAGATGGACCCTAGCTAGGAGACAGGGGTGTCCTTGGGCAGGTCATGGGGGGGGGGGCAGGATTTCTGCACATTAGCCCATTGGGGGATGGACAGTGGGAGAGGCTGGTTTGCCAACTTTGACCTAGACTCAAACTTGGAAGTGGCCTAGAGGGCCCTCCTACATGCACCTTCCCCGCTACCACTAACCCCTGCTTCCCTGCAGGTGGAGGCTCAGCTGCAGCTCGGGGTCTCCAGGCCCTGGAGACACAGCCTGCTCACGGTCCCCGCCCTCCAGCCCACAGGTAGTGCTCCCTCCGAGGAGGGTCTTGTTCCTGCTGAACCAAAGGGCACCTTGTCCTCTCGTGATCCAAACTCTGCCTCCCCACCCGGGGCACAGACCCATGGTTCCCCCGGCCAGGAGCGAGTGTCCTTGCAGGGTCTGCGTCTGTGCTGTGCAGGTCAGACCCCCAGACAGCTGATCCTCCCAGGACTGCACCTGGGTGCCCACATGCCCTTCCCCCATGTGAGGGCACTAGCACCCTCAGTGGCCAGTCCTGACTCACAAAATGACTGGGAGGGGACTGAGCAGTGCTTCTGCTGCCACCACGGAGAGCAGCCTGTACCCCGGCTGCCGGCATCTCCATCCGTGTGGCAGGATCCCCTCTGCACTGTAGACCCTGTGCCCTGGTGGTTTGGGGTCCATGCCAGGCCACGTGCAAGCCCCAATCCCACCCTGATAGGAGGAGAGGAGGCTCTGGGCAGAGGCCAGGGCCTGGTGAAAGCTCCATTTGGCTGCCTCTGCCTCTGTCAGCTGAGCTGCAGACATCACCCCCAAACCTAAGGCTTCACCCTTTCTCCCTTGGTGGATGTGCCCCTCGGAATCGTTCAGGGTGGCCTCAAGGGTGGGGTTAAAACTTGACACACACAGCGTGTCATCATTCAGGCCCTACTGTCCCCTCCTAACAGTCAGCCACAATGGAGGTCACTTTACCTGCCAAGTGCCAAAGCAGGAATCTAGGCCTGGATTCCTGTCAGTGAGGCACTGACGGCTGTAACCTTGCTGAACTGGGGGTCCCGAGTATGAGAACGTTGGAGGGGGTCTGCACCCACCCTAGGGTGGCAGCCAGGCATTGTTCCTAAGATGTTCCCAGGTTTAAATGAATTCAGGGGAGAATAAAAGAGGAGATGACGTCCACCATCTGGGGCTCCCCCAAGGGACGTTGCACCAAAACCCAGCAGCAGGTGGTCAAGTGAAAAGCGGGCTCTCTCCAGTGTGGTCCCACGAGGAAACCCTCAGGCCTGTCACTCAAAGTGGCGCTTCCAGAAGCCAGACTCCGTAGGACCCCGGAGAAACCACAGCCGTTGCACAGATGGCGGCAGCATTTTCAGGGGCTTCCTTTGCTCCTCTGCGAGCATTTCAGGTGCCTGCTCTGTGAGCCAGGCCAGGCACATGGGGAGCTGGGCAGGCAGCCAGGCAGGTCCATCACAGTGTGACGGGCAGCCACAGAGGGTGGGAGACTGCAAATGCAAGGGGCAGGGAGAGGGACACAGACCAGCAAGGCTGAAAGGGCCTGAGTGCCAGGCCAGAATTCAAGGGCTTTCGTGAGCAGAGCTAGTTTGAAATGGGAGCTGGAATGGGGTCAGGTTTGTGTTTTAGAGCATTCTGGGGCCAGGGTTAGGGGTGGGAGGATGGATTGGAAGGGAGGAAAATGCGGCCAGGGGTCCAGGGAGTCTGCAGTAAGCCTGGAGGAGGAACAATGATCTGGGCCAGGGCGGAAGAGGAGAATGGTGATGGAGGAAAGATCACCTAAGGCTGATGGCAGGACTGGGGGAAGATGGGGGATCTCTGGCTTAAGGCTTGGAGAACAGTGCGACCCCTGCTGGAGGCTCCGCCTGAGAAGGGCTATGGAGAATGTGGAATTCAATGGAAGAAACAGACATCTTCCTGTCTCCAGCAAAGGCCTCCCAGGAACTCTCCGTCTCTGTCTACCCCAGAACCACACCATCCAACACTTTGCTGTCAGATCTCCCAACTCTTTCTTCGAATAAGAGATGGGATGAGCCACAGAAGGGTGATTTTGACTACCGGAAGTCTCCAAGATGAAGAGCTCAGAGCCATGGAGAGGTAAGCCACTGCCATTGATACACTCTGCTGCGGGGGGTGGCGGGGGGGGGGGGGGGGGGGCCGGGGCGGGTAATGGGGTGGCCCTCAACCCAGAGGCAGGTCCACAGTGAGGCTAGGTCTTGAGCTTGACCAGGGGTGACCTGATCTCCGAGGGCTACAGGGTAAACCAAGGGTGCACGGTCTCCCTGGGAGGGTGCCCAGGCCTGACCACATGAATGGGTTTTCCCTTCCTCAGCCCATCAGCCAGACCAAGAAATGGGAATATGCTCTGCGTCCTGCTTGCAGTCATGAAGCTGAACTTGCTCCCAGGAGGTCACTGCCCTGGGGAGGAGGTATGTGTGGGGGAGGGCGGGGTGTCACACCTGTGTCTGCCCGTCAAAATGCAAAGCCAGGTATTTCAGGGCCCTGAAGGTGAACATCCCTCCAGAAATGGAATTGATGTACCAGTAATGATTCAAATAAATAATTTCAAATAAATGGTTTAAATAGACAGTTTCTTCTGGCAGGTGCTCCTAACTCAAGCTAGTCTGAGACCCTTTGGGGTAGAAATAAAACTCCTGGGACCTAATACTTCTTATATGCTTAGTATTAAGAGACAGTAAAGCAGCACTAATACAAATTTTGGGTAATAAATCTCAATCATTCTTCCAAAATCTTTTAAAAATGGGGAAAATAAAGGTGCATCTGGCCAAGCCTGGGCAGAGGGTTGCTGCAGGGCAGGAGTTCTTAATCTCTTTTGTGCCTCAGACCTCTGAGTCTGGAGAAGCTTAGGAACCTCACTCAGAATAAGTTTTAAAACTCATGAAGTCAGCCCTAGCCAGTTTGGCTCAGTGGACAGAGCATCGGCCTGTGGACCGAAGGGTCCTGGTTTTGATTCCAGTCAAGGTCACATGCCTCGCTTGCAGGCTCCTCCCCAGCTTGGGCCCTGGTTGGGGCACGTGCAGGAGGCAACCAATCAATGTGTCTCACATCGATATTTCTCTCTCTTTCCCTCTCTCTTCCATTCTCTCTGAAAAGCAATGGAAAGATATCCTCAGGTAAGGATTAAAAAAAAAAAACTCATGAAATAAAATAATAGACTTGCAAAGGAAACCACTGTAAGTCAGTCAAAATGTTAAGTATAATAAAAGTAATTAAATGTATTTTCAAGCTTGTGATGTGGTGATGCATTCTGTATTAACACTTTAAATAACAAGCTTAGCAGCAGCTCTAATAAGTGGCATAATTTCAAAGAACGATGAGTGTAAATAACACTTCCATGTTTTTGCAACAACCAAGATGTGATGTGAAAATATCCCTGATTTCTACTCATGGCAAAGTGACAGGTACTTCTAATACTGCTGTTTCTCTTTAAATGAGAGAAATACCATTTTTAGTTAGGGGTTAATTAAAAATAAAGATCCCATTCAAGTTAATGAACTTAGTGAATGGTTTATCCACGAACCATCTCAGGACCTCAGGTTAACAAGCCTGCTCTAAGGAGTGAGGGCAAATGGCCTGTATTTGGAATAGGATGTTCAGAAATGGCAGAGACAACAGTGTGATGCCCGCTATCCAAAAGCCTTCAGCTGGTCCCCCACCTGACAGTGAACTGGCAGCATAAATTAATCTCCTGAGCTACTTTAACATGATCAAGAATATTGATCTCAAAAAATAAACTGCACAAGGACCCAGCTTTTAGTGATGAGAGGAAGGTTGTGTGGTTCTGGAAAATTCTCTATTACTGACCTTATTCTCCCTATTTTGTACTGGTTGAAGAGAACTGATTAAAAGAAAAAAATTATCCCTCTCCCTTCCTTTCTGTAAAAAAAAAAATCAATAAAATATATTTTAAAAATAAAAATTAAAAATTAAAGAAAAAATTAAAGGTTTTATGCCCACATAGATTTATGCATTATAACTTTCAACTTGGATTGTCAGTTAGAAAGATGTTTTATAACTTAATTGAGATTAAAGTTTGGTGCTTGGGAGCTTTTTAAAAATATATATTTTTTTTATTGATTTCAGAGAGGAAGGGAGAGGGAGAGGGAGATAGAAACATCAATGATGAGAAAGAATCATTGATCAGCTGCCTCCTGCATGCCCCCTACTAGGGATCCCATGTGCCCTGGCCAGGCATCGAACCTTGACCTTCTGGTTCATAGGTCGATGTTCAACCACTGAGCTACACTGGCTAGGCAGTGCTTGGGAGCTTTAAAGAACACCATGAAATTCACAGAGACTGAAAGCAGATTAAAGGTTACTAGGGGCTCTGGGGGGAAGGGATTGAAGAGTTATGGGTACAGAATTTCTATGTGGGGTGATAAAAAAATTTTGGCTATAGATATGGTGATGGTTGCATAACATGGTGAATGTACTGCCACTGAATTATATGCTTAAAATAGTTAAAATGGCAAGTTTTATATTATTTATATTTTTGTGCATGCACACATACACACACCAAACAAATTACCATCTACAC